ATGTTCCATCGTAACTACCTTCTTATAACTACGTTTTCTGTTGAGAATATAGCTTATCTCTTATATCCTGGTCAAACGACGACCATAGACATTGTTACTTTTTCACATCAACTTCTTAAAATCTCTGCGTTTCCGAGTTTTTTGACCTTCATGGATTTTTTCAGTTAAGTTATTTAACAAATTTACATGGTTTCCTTCTTGACCTTATACTCTCAAACTGTAAACTCTTAACTGTTGCACTAGCATCTTAGCATGCAGTTCCTCCTAATCCCTATGACCCTGCCGTTTGTCTGTCTCTAAATATATCTCTTGCTCCTTCCTCAGCTCCACTAATATCATTCGATCTTCCAAGTATTTCACACTTTCGAAATTCTTACAACTGGGAACTCTTTTTTCTCTCTCATAACACTGATGATGTGAAATCTTTCCTTGATGATGATTGCTCATCAATTCGTTCATTTGTCCCAAAAGTTTATACTTTCGCCACTCTTCTTACCCGCCTTGGTTCACACGAGAGATAAAAAACGTTGTGCGCCTAAAAACACAAGCTAACTATAAAAAACATCCCTAATTTTTACCGACTACCGTTCCTTTTCTCTTCTTTGTGTTCGCTACAGTTTCCTACAAGCTCCAATCCCTCAAATGCAGCCGATTTATTCTCAAAGTTCTTTTTGTCTGTTTTTAATTTTTCTACCAGTTCTTCTTTTACCCCACCTACAAATTTTTATATCTCCTTGACGGATGACGGTTTTAGTAATGTACTCAATTCTCTCCGTAATATTTAGTCCTTTGTTCGGGATGGCTTTCAAGGTGACTTTCTTTTCAAACTAAAAGATGTTATTGCTTGACCGCTTTTAATCTTTTTAACAAACCCCTGGATTCCGGTACTTTGCCCTCTATCCTCAAAATTGGATCCATAATTCTCATTCACAAGTCGGGCGAAACACAAATTATCACACACTACCGTAGTTTGCGCATTGGATATCTTTGGGATACCACCTGGTGCTATCAGGAATAATGAACAGGACGTGCTTCAAGTGGTTCAAGTTTTGGTTTCGATAAAGAGTGCAATGGAGTTATATCAAAGTTAATAGAGTTTAAATAAGTACCTGTCTAGGGCTTGTGTGGCTCCGTTGTTGTACATATGTTCTAGGCAAATGTTTAAATTCAACACGGTGAGTTGGATTAGGTCCAGAAGTTTTTTCAAAGAAATAGATTTTTCTTCTGACTGAATCATCTGGATCACCATGCCGGTAAACCAATCCAGCAGATTCGTCAATTCTTCATCCACTTGTTCAAAGATCAAGTTTACCGCGAGACTACGGTATTCCATATCTTGTATTTCGCATACGTTAATGCCTTCGATATATATATCATTAGCCTTTAATTTTGACTTTACTTTTTCCAACAAGAAATCTGGGACTTTCAACAAGTCGTCCATCTCTTCGTCCACGTTGACCGTGCGACGCACGATCTGGCACGAACCGTCGACAAAAACCAATAGACCGGTTAATATCGTGGAACATAAAAAAAAAAAATTGTAAAGAGAACTTCATATTTTTTTCTTATAGCAAGTCGACTTATAGTAAGTATCAAGTAAACTGAGGAGCAGTTGCAGCAAAAACAATATCTAAACATTTTAGATTGTTTTTTCAAATGGAACCTATAAAAACAATTATCTTTGTAAACAAATTTTACCAAAGTTGCAAAAAAAAAACACTTACTTTGATGTATTACTAAATATTTTATTTTTTTCATAAGGCCCGTTAACAGAATAACAAAATATGATTTTGAAAACAATTATACTTAACTACAAATTGTTCACAATCAAATATTCCCAGCTCCGACTTTTGAACTTTAAAAAAAAATATTTGTTTTTTTTGTTTTAATACCATGTTCAACACTAACTTATCTATCCCAGGTTCGAAGAGAGTTAAAAACTACCGAGAATACCATTATCTAAAGAAAGGTGTCATTGTTGTTTTTAATACCTAATGAATATAGTGTACTGCAAAATATGAATTTAAAAGATTGGAATTATCCCAGAAAATTAAAAAAAAAGCCAGTACAGGTGGGTCGGGGCACAGTGGGGACGGGAAATTAACAGGACTACAAGATTTATAATTACTAAAAGTGATAAAATCACTAGTATGTTCAGACCAATACAATCCAAACCAAGCACAGTTTAAGTATTAGCATAAAAGCGTTATTTCAACGTGATTTTTTCCGAGTAAGACAGTGAGGTCGAGGCATAATGGGATCAAAGCATAGTAAGAACGGACAAGTCATAGGTCTACAGGAATTAATATAAAAAAAAGTGATAAAATCACTTTCAATTATCTACACGCTTTGATTTGAAAACACTACTTCTCAACGTAACACTGTGCTGGTTGATACTGTGCTTAGATTGGACTTAACTGGTTTGAAAATACTACAGATTCACTTTAATGCATTTATTAAAAATTGATTTAATCATATAATATATTTTAACTGTAGGTGTAAAATTGGAAAAAGTTCTGATATATGTAAAATTAAAAAAACCTATCTATCTCGTATATTTAACTAACACAAGGGTAAACGAAGAAAAGGTGTTAACACCATCAGCGGAAACTGTAGGTATCAGCATATTATTTGTTTTTTTATAAGGTCATATATTGTGGAACAAAAATAGTAACTATTTAAAATGTTTATCTGAAATAGTATTTTTTACCTAATAGTAATTGTAGCATATGCACGGGCCGGTGTAAGAAAATTAATATGAAATTATTTTTAAAAAAATATACCGATAATAAAATTTATACAGCCTTTTCAAAAGGTTTTAAATGAATATATAACAGAAAACAGTGCTGAGAGGCCAGGGCATGGTTAGGACACCGAAATGGACAATTCATTGTTTTGATAGGAAAAATGTTTCTAAATTGGTACACATTTAGTAAATATTGCATACATTAAGTTAAGAATTATACCAAATTGATATATTTATATCCTATGACTTTTGATTCTATGAACGAATTAAATCGCTATTCGATTTGAATTTGGTACACGATTTGGCGTAGAATACTACATGTGTTTTCCGTATATTTCATAAAGTAAAGGAAAATGACAAAAATTGTTAACAGAGAACAGTAAAAATGAAATATAGTAGGTAATAAACCGTAGTACCTACCAATGTAATGAAATATGTTAATTAGCGATTTAAAGAATTTCAATTTATTTTGCTATTCAATTTTCAGATATACAATACTGACAACTACATTTATAATTTTACTCAATATTATAGCTACAATAAAACTTGCATACCTACAATGATTTATAGTCTAATAAATTCGTAGATCAAAATTATATGAGCTCAAAAGATAATAAAAAAAAGTCAGTTAAGAACTTTTTAAAGTGGTTAGGTGCCTTTTGTTAAATGCCTATTGAAACCATATAAAATACAATGCCAAAATCAGTTATTTCAGACTAGTATGCCATCAAACATTAAAATCGACTGCTGTTGTAGTTGTTAAGATAAGTACCTAGTTCTTATACAAATATAAATAAAACTTAACCACATTCAAAATATACTTATTTCGCTCATAAATATATTTTTATTGAAGTTAAGGTTTATTTATGGTTGTATAAAAAAAACCACAAGTGACTCTAATTAACAAGTAGTTTGTACTTTGGTAAAGTAAAGTTTTCAATCCCTGAGTTTGTATTTAATCCAAAAGTGCAAAAATTATGTTTTAATAACATAACAATCGTGAACCGTTTTTTTAAAAAACAATTTTCCAATGTTAAATTCTTGAAATACTTGAAAAAATAAGTTGGCACGTTCCACCTTATAATGCTCGTTTTCACTCTCAGGCTTACTGCTTTAATGAGCCCCTAAGCCGTATGCTAAGGGAATGCAACTGTATTGCCTTCGATTTTAATTTTGAAAGCGAATCTAAACTTCGCTTTTTGTGTCTGGGTCGTCACGGATAAATAACTGTTGCTATAAAATTGTAGTAAAAATATTCTTAAAATTATTGTTTTATTTTGTTATCATTCATGTACACTTTTTGACCGATTGAACTTTATTATAATTATAAAAAAAAAAAAAAATTCTACAAATCATAATAATATATATTATTTTTACTTTAAATAGTTAAACAGATCATATTATATTTTTGTTAAATCTTAGTGAACTTAGTGGGAAAATGCCATTTTTTTTTTCTCAAAATAAATAAGTGTTTTGCATTAAGTCGAACAGCCATAAGAACGGTTGGAATCATTTTCTTTCCATCAATCTTTGAATGACGTAAAAATGCTAATTACTCGAATAGTCTTTGAATAATATAGTTGCCATTAATATTATAAAGTACTCACTAATGCCTACTCGTTTTAGATAAAATTTGTAGATGTATTGATTTGTTGCTGAAAAAGTTGTTAATACTATAAAAGACACAAAGCTTTAAAGAATTGGAATTTTCATAGACTATTTGGTTGAGTATAAATTAAAAAAAAAAATTGTCTGTACAGTATTTCTACCTCGAAATTTGCTTGTTAATATTGCAATTAACAAAACTTAAGAATAATAGCATCAGCTATCGCTTATTTTTTTTTAAACCTAATTTTCAAAGTAACCTTCCATTTATTTTAAAAATCGGCCGGTTGAATATGTTTTTAATTTTAATTTTTCAGAAGGTTAGGTCAAAGGTCAATAACGAGTTTGAAGACATGGTAAAAACGTATTATAACAGGTTCTAATCGGCAAACAAATGTAAATTGTTTTTAATATATTTCTAAAATATCACTAATGATCAATGGCCATTCTCACCAGTTTGGCTCTGAGTCGATAATGCTCCAAGTTGCAAAAACATTAAACTCGGTTCGTAAAACAAATAAATATATATTTCATGGTTATATGTAATACAAATATGTTTTTTTTTATAATTAACAATATTGTTATTTTATGACCATTATTCTATGGATATACTATTAGGATAAACGTATACGAATTATAATTTATAAAACTATTTTTCAATTATCATTACTCTGCCAATTTCTGTAGTTGTCAAAGAAGCCACCCTCATATCTTTTATAATTTTGTCCAGATTTTCAATCGTTCCAGTTTCTGTAACGGCAAAGTCGAGCTCCCTCTTTGTACCTGAAAAATGCAAATGATCTGCCAACCGGGTCACAACATTTATGATCCGGGGTAAATCATTTTTCAACACTTGGTTTTCCAGAACTTCATAGACAACTCCAACAATAGGTTCGAGAGCCTCGGCAGCTTCTAAAAATAATTGGTCCGGACATTCCAAATGAAGCGTGGATTTCATAAAGCGTTGGAATGAGTTTAATACTTTTATCTGATCGTCTAAGACTACGTTTACGGCTTTCAAACGTTCGTGTCTGGTCGCATTGTTTAGCAGACTACTGACAATCATTGTCCGCAAGTAGTGGACAAACAGCAAAATAATGTCAGAAGTATTTTTGGCCATTACCATGGCAAGCGTTTCGGTGACTTCCACGTAAAACGCCATTACTTTGGTCGAGTCGACCTCGGGGGCCGTTTCTTTGTATCTCTGCTGAAGAGTTTTGCCACTTATCGGAGACAACAAGTTCTGAACGGTCACGGATTTTATCAGGCTCTTCCACTTTAGTTGGTCGGTGTTCAACCAGCCGCAGCCATAACTTTGCCTGTAGAAGTCTGTGTAGCTAACAATTTTCGTTTTAGCTTCGTCCAACAGATCTAAGTACGATTTTTGTGGTACGTCCTCAACGCCAGCCTGGAGCCGAGCCCTGTTCGTCTTCTTCTTGACCAAGTCCAATATTTTTGGTTTTTGAAAACCTGTTGTGCCGTACTGGGCTCGGTATACGAAGATCATGTCACTGAACAACAGGTACCTGTCAGACCAAACATTCGCGAAGGACATTAGTAAACGGAAGTTGCCACGACGGGGATAAAATACCATATGTGTATTATAATAGATTCTTAAAACTCTGTCCCAGTGATATTTCTATAGTTTTGTAATGGCTAACGTAAGCTGTGGGACGCATCACGTTAAATTTATAAAATTGTTATTAGTCATGTGTGAAAGTGAATTTCTGATGATTAATGAGAGACGCCTTATGGGACTTTCCCGATTAAAAGTAGAATAATGTGTTTATTAAAATTAACCGAAAACAAGATTTCACCAATCTTTGTGTATAATAGGCAATAGTGTTGGTATGTATTAGAATATTGGAATGATTATATTAAAGAATCTTCAAATTATTTTAATTAAAACATTATTTTTTATTTATGTTATTTGTAATTTTGTGATATTAATGTAAACCACTCTACCAACTTTTTGCTGCATTGAAATACTTAGAAATACCACCCGGTATTTTAAGTGAGATGTATAAGTGGTTCAAAATTTGGATAATGAAGGCATTGGAGTTATTTCAGAGTTAACAGGGTTTAAGTAACTACCTGTTTAGTGCTTGAGCGACGTTGGCTCCGTTGTCATACAGATGCTTCAGGCAAGCGTTTAGATTAAACACAGTCGATTGGATGTCTTCCAGAAATTTTTCCAAAGAAACAGTGAGGTCTCTTAACCGAATCATCTTGATAACCATGCTGGTGAACCATTCCAGCAGATTCGTCACTTCTTTGGCCACTTCTTCAAAGATCAAGTTAACCGCATGACGACGGTTGTTCTTGTTTTGGATTTCCATTACGTATATTCCATAGATATGTATAAAATTAGCATTTAACTTCGACCTTACATTTGCCATCAGAAAATCGGGGATTTTGAACAAGTCGTCCATCTTTTCGTCCACATCAACCGGACAGCACACAATCTTGCACAAACCGTCAGATAAAACAAACAGACCGGCTAAAATTATGGAAAATAAAAAAAAGAATTGTATAAACGACTTCATATTTTTTTCTTATAGCAAGTCAACTTATGGTAAGTATCGATTAAACTGTGGAGCAATCGCAGCAAAAACAAAATCTCAACATTCAGGTTGGTTTATTCAAGTGTGACCCAAAAAAAAACAAATTTTACCAAAGTCGCAAAAAAATACTTTTGTGTACTACATTGAAACACAATAATATAATAACAAAAACTGTTCTACAACTTTTATTTTTTTTATAACGCCCGTAAAAAGAATAACAAAATATGGTTTTAAAAACAATTATACTTACCAATAAAATGTTCATCTTGAAATGCTCCCAACCCTGAATTTTAGAACTTTAAGAAATGTTTACTTTATTTGTTTTAATGTTCAACGCTAGCGTATCCATCCCATATTCGAAGAGAGTTAAAAACAACCAGAGAATATCATTATCTAATAAAAAATGTCATTGTTAGCTTTAATACCTATTGAATGTATTGTACTGCAAAATATGAATTTGATAGATTGGAATTCTCCCATAAGTTTTTTTTTAAAAAGTTAGTACAGTGGGGTTGAAGGAAAGTAGGAACAGAGCATATCAGAACGGGAGAGGAGAAGTCACTTTGAAAATAGCCAGTACAGTGGGGTGGGGACTTGGGACAGAGTGGTGTCAGTGGATAGTGGTGACAGGGAAACGACGGTCTAAAATAATTATTATAACACAATGTAATAAAATCACTTTTGATGTTAGGATGTTCAGCCCAATACATTCCAAACCAAGCACAGTATAAACGAACACAGTAAGAAAGTATTAAAGTGAGGTGAAGTATTTACAAATAAGCGTAAAAGCGTTATTTGAAAGTGATTTTATCCGAGTAAGCCAAACAGTAAGACAGTGAGGTCGAGGCACAATGGAATCAAAGCATAGTGGGGACGGACAGGTCATAGGTCTAAAGGAATTAATCTAAATAAAAGTGATAAAATCACTTTAAAATACACGCTTTGATTTGAAAACACTGTATCTCAACATAATACTTTCTTACTGTGATGGTTGATACTGTGCTTGGATTGGACAACTAGTTTAAAAATACTAACTACTGATTTGCATTAAAGCATTTATCTGAAATTAATTTTATTATATATATTTTAATTTCTGTAAACCTGTTACCTCCCGTTCTGAGTATGTCCTGACCCTACTGTACGGACTTTGTATCTTTTATTCGATTATTTTATGAATATTATTTTGTCTTTTTTCTAGTAATTTTAACTTCTGTGCAAATCTGATGTACTTTTTGCCTGTATCTAATTTAAAAACCAATGGATTGAATTTTTTTTTTGTGGATGCGGCAAGGGACCTTAATGGTCCGTATTAATAGGCCAGAAGAAGGATTGATTTGTTTTACAACAAGTCTACAAATGAGTAATCATTTTATTTAGTTTGTGCTTTGGTGGGGGCGGGCTGTAAAATTGTAAAAAAACTCTAATATGTATATGTGAGTATGAAAAATTCAAATTACAGTGCATGATTTGGAGTTGAATACCACATTTGGATAACCCAAGGGTAAATAAATAAAAGGTGTTAATGCCAACAGCGGGAATGGTACCAATTTATTTTTATTTTGGTATGGCAGCGTTTTCAATCTCTGAATTTGTATTTAATCCAAATTTGCAAAAAATATTTTTTAACTTTTAAAAACATAACAATCGTGAACCGTTCCAATACATTTTAGGACTTGATTTTTCCTGTGTTGAATTATACAAGACATAATAATAATTGTGCGTTTAGCTTGGCCAAATTTTGATCAGCTCTTTGTACATTTTCTCAAATTTATTTTAATTTAAAGCGTTTTTGTCTATTGCAAATACGCTAAAATATAAAATAACTTGCCATATGTGCTTACCGTTTAATGTTTATACAGATTTTAAATGTTCTGCAGTGGTTCTTTCTATGAAATTTGATAACGCTGGCTTGGAAGTAAAACTAAAATATGAATACAAATTTCAAAGTTTTGAATAAAGTGTAATACATAATTTTAAAATCAGCTTATAAAAATGTATCGTTGCTTTATTGATTAAATAATATTGTATGATCAAAATTTGCTATTGATATAAAATACATCGTACAGATATATTTTGGGGATGTGGTTTATTTTAAAGTTTTTTATGAGCAATATTTCGGAAAAAAATAGTTTTAATAAATCGACCATGTCAATTAATTTACTGGATAACTTGTATAATCTTTAAAGTATTATTTTTAATTTAAATAATTTTCTCTATGAGTAACAGTCATTTTAAATTAATTTAGACCGAAAAGCTAGACAAATATCCACTACATAGGATGGTCCGATTTCAATTGTGTAAAGTGATTTAAGTTATTTGACTACTGTACTAAAGGGTTTTCCAATAGGAACGGGTCAATGTTGAAATGGAATAATACAAGCTGTGTGTGAGATATGGTTAGTCACTAGTATTTAACTGTTACTATAAAATTGTAGTAAAAATATTCTTAGAATTAATGTTTTATTTTGTTATCATTCATATACACTCTTTGACCGATTAGACTTAATTATTATTATAAAAAAAAAAAAAAAACTTTATAAACCATAATTATGTATAATATTTAATATCAAATAATTAATCATATTATATTATATTACAGTTAAATAATCAAAATTCTCTGAGTGAATTTAGTGGGAAAAGTCAATTATTTTCTAAATAAATAAGTATTTTGCGTTAAGTCGAACAGCTTAAAGAAGGATTGTAATCATTTTCTTTCCATAGATCTTTGAATGATGTGAAAATGCTAATAAAAACACTAATACTTACTCGAATAGACGTTGAATAATATAGTTGCCATTAATATTATAAAGTACTCACTAATGCCTTCTTATTTTAAATATTGGTAGATGTGTTGATTTGTAGACATATTTGCCGAAAAAGTTGTTAAGAATATAAAAGAAACAAAGCTTTGAAGAATTGAAATTTTCATAGATTATTTGGTTAAGTATACATTTTAAAAAAATAATTGTCTGTACAACATATCTAACTCGACATTTGCTTGTTAATATTGCATTTAACAAAACTTAAAAATAATAGCATCAGATATCGGTTATTTTTTTAAACTAACTTTCAAAAGTAACCCTTCATTTTTTTTAAAAACCGGCCGAAAGAATTTGTTTTTAATTTTAATTTTTCAAAAGGTTAGGTTAAAAGTCAAGAACGAGTTTGAAGACATGGTAAAAACGTATTATAACATCTGCAAACAAATGTATTTTGTTTTTAATAATTTTCTAAAATATAACTAATAATAATCAATGGCCGTTCTCACCAGTTTGGCTCTGAGTTAGGAAGATGCTCCAAGTTGGAAAAACTTTAAATTCGGTTCGTAAAACAAATAAATATATATTCTATGGTTATATGTAATACATATAATATGTTTTTTTTATAATTAACAATATTGTTATTTTATTACCATTAATTTATGGTTTTTCTATTAGGATAAACGTATACGAATTATAATTTATAAACCTATTTTTCAATTATTATTACTCTGCCCATTTCTGTTGTTGCCAAAGAAGCGACCCTCATGTCATTTATGATTTTTTCCAGTATTTCAGGCGTTTCAGTTTCAGTACGGGCAATTTCAAACTGCCCCTCTGTATCTGAAAAATGCACATGATCTGCGAAGAGGGTCACCAAATTTATGATCGTGAGTAAATCCCGTTCCAACACATGGTTTTCCAGACATTCAAAGACACATCCAACAATAGATTTGAGAGCCTCGGCAGTTTTAGATAATAATGGCTCCGGACATTCCAAATGAAGCGTGGATTTCATAAAGCGTTGGAATGAGTTTAAGATTTTTAACTGGTCGTCTAGGACTACGTTTACGGCTTTCAAACGTTCGTGTCTGATCGCATTGTTTCGCGAACCACTGACAATCATTATCCGCAAGTAGTCGACAAACAGCGGAATAATGTCAGAACTGTTTTTGACCAATACCATGGAAAGCGTTTCGGCGACTTCCACGTAAAACGCTAATACATTGGTCGAGTCCACCTCGGCTGCAATGTCTTTGTAACTCTGCTGAAGAGTTTTGCCACTTATCGGAGACAACAAGTTCTGGACGGTCACGGATTTTATCAAGCTCTTCCACTTTAGTTGGTCGGTGTACAACCAGCCACACTCATAACAATGATTGTAGAAATTTGTGTAGTTTAAAATTATCGTTTTTGCATCGGCTAATAAATCAAAGAACGACATTTGCGGTACGTCCTCATCACCGATCGTGATCCGTGTCTTCTTCTTGATCAAGTCCAATATTTTTTGATTTTGAAAATCGAGTCCAGGCGTCTCAGTATTGGTGTCAGTGAAGGTGTCGATGTCGTACTCAGCTCGGTATACGAAAATGATGTCACTGAGAAACAGGTACCTGTAAAAAATAACATTCGCAATGGACATTAGCAAATGGCAGATGTAACTAGGATAGCCGTTTAGTTGTTTTAAGCATATAAGTAGAATAATGTATTTTTTAAAACTAACCAAAAAAAGAGTTCGCTTATCTTTGTGTATAATAGGCAATAGTATTGGTATGTATTCGAATATTGTAATGATTATATAAATTAATCTACAAATTATTTTAATTAATACATTAATTGTTATTTATTTAAAATGTGCACCAATGTAGCAACAGTTATCTTTTTCTGGCATTGAAATTCTTAGGGATACCACCCGTTGATATAAAGAAAGATGTATAAGTGGTTCAAAATTTGGTTGAAGAAGGCAATGGAGTTATCTCAGAGTAACAATGGTCTAATTAAGTACCTGTCTAGAGCTTGAGCTACGTTGGCTCCGTTGTCATACAGATGCTTCAGGCAACCGTTTAGATTAAACACCGTCAATTGTATGTCGTTCAAAAGGTCTTCCAAAGACATAGAGTTGTCTCTAAACCGAATCATTTGGATCACCATGCCGGTGAACCAATTCAGCATTTTCGTCACTTCTTCGGCCACTTGTTCATAGATCAAGCTTACCGCACGATGACGGTTGTTCTGGTTTAGGATTTCCATTACGTGTATTCCATTGATATATATATGATTAGCAATTAACTTCGACTTTACTTTTTCCATAAGAAAATCTGGGATCTTTAACGATTCGTCCATATTTTCGTCCACGTCAACCGGACGGCACACAATCTTGCACAAACCGTCAGATAAAACAAACAGACCGGCTAAAATGATGGAAAATAATAAAAAGAATTGTATAAGCGACTTCATATTTTTTTTCTTTTAGCAAGTCAACTCTTAGTAAGTATCGATTAAACTGTGGAGTAATCGCAGCGAAACAAATTCTCAACATTCAGGTTGGTTTTTTCAAGTGTGACCCAAAAAAACAAATATCTATATAAATAAATTTTACCGTAGTCGCAAAAAAATACTATTGTGTATTACATTGAAACACAATACTATAATATCAAAAACTGTTCTACAGCTTTTGTTTTTTTTATAACGGCCGTAAACAGAACAACAAAATATGATTTTAGTAACAATTATACTTACCAATAAAATGTTCACCTCAAAACCCTTAAAAATTGATTATATAATATATATTTTAATTTCTGTAAGACCTGTTACCTCCCGTCCTTACTATGTCTTGACCCCACTGGACGGACTGTATCTTTTATTCGATTATTTTGACTACATTTTTTATCTTTTTTCTAGTAATTTTAACTTCTGTGCAAATCTACTGTACTTTTTGCCTGTACATAATATTTTGCATAGTTTGCAATTTTTAGTAAGGGGTGGGGGTTGTAATATTGTAAAAAAGCTCTGATATATGTAAAATTGTAAAAGTTAAATGACTGTGCGTGATTTGGTGTAGAATACCACATTTGTTTTGCGTATATTTGAATAACTCAAGGGTAAACGACGATTATTATTGGTTTTTGTATTACGTGGTGGAAAAAAATTGTAACTTCTTGAATTCTGTACCTGAAATTGTATTTTTTACCTAACAATTGTATCATATGCGCTTAAATATGTTGTTTTTGAATATACGTACATTGTTTGGTGCATGAATTTATGTATGACCAACAAGTAACTGTTTGAATAGTTCAATACAGTGTTTTTTACTTATTTCGATAAAAAAATTTTAGAACACATTGATTTTAGTACGTTCCTTAAATTTGAAATTATTTTTTAAAAAAAATACCGTTAACAAAATTCATACAGCCTTTCCAAAAGGTTTTAAATGAATATATAACAGAAACCTGTGCTGAGGGGTCGGGGTATGGTTAGGGAACCGAAACGAACAATACATTGTTCTGAGCGGAAATATTTTTCAAAATTGTTTACAACTAGTACAAACATGTCATACATTTAGTTATGAGTTAGACCAGAATTATATATTTATATCCAATGTATGGCTTTTGCTTCTATGAACGAATTAAAACGCTTTACAATTTGAATTTGGTATACGATTTGGCATAAAATACCACATGTGTTTTGCTATATATTTTATAAAGTCAAGGTTGAATGACAAAAGCTGTTAACAGAAAACCGTAATAATATAATATAGTATATAATACGTTTTTTTTTCAAGTGTAACCTAAAAGTAAAAAACAAATATCTATAAGAACAAATTTTGATGTATTACTAGATCTATCCCAGATTGGAAGGTATTTCATAACTACCTGAGATTATAATTATCTAATGAAAGATGTCATTGTTGGCTTTTGAAATATAGTGTACTGCAAAATATGAATTTGAAAGATTGAAATTCTCCCAGAATTTTTTTTATAACACCGTTGGGTCGGAGGAAGTAGGGACAGAGCATATCAGAACGGGAGACGAAAAGTCACTTTCAAAATAGCCAGTACAATGGGTTGGGACACAACGGAGTTAGTGCATAGTGATGACAGGGAAACAAAGGGTCTAAAAGAATTATTCTCACTTTTAGTTATAAAGTTTAAACAATATCAATACATTTATTTCGAGATGATAGAGAATCTAAATTAAAGAGAATTGAACTACTTTTAAAGGAATGTTAGAATATATTTTGGAATGATTTCTTTTAAAACAAATGAAACGAAGAAATCGTATTTGGATTCTTTCCAGAGATTCTATTAATCCAATTTGAGCTGGATTCCATACAACAGAACCATACTCGATGTTTGATCATACCAAAGTAATATGCAGTATTTTTAGAGAATGCTCATTATCAAAATAATGAGTATGGGTATTACGGATAACAAAACCAAGAGTTCTTAGATCTTTTGATTTTATATGTTCTATATAGGATATGAACAAGAGATAATTTGGAGAGAAGTAAGAAATGATTAACTGAGTTAAAAGTTTTGCAGAAATCGGTATAGATAACAGTCTGATATCATGATTTGGCAGTTTGAATTAAACCAGTATAAAAGCAAAGCAAATTAGTGTCATCTGATAAACTACTCATGAAACCGTGTTGATTCAAACCAAGTGTTGATTAAATATTTTGTATACTGGAATAGATAAACAATAATTACAAGAGTTCAGTAAAATACTAGGTACATTGTCAGGACCTGGGCAAGGACTTAGATTTAAGCTACCAAGACCCAGGAAGACATCGCCAAGTGAAATTTGGATATAAGATAAATCAACAACATTAGATAAGATGGGATTAATAGAATTATTATCTAGCTGGGTATTGGGGAACTTCTTAAATTCTGTATCTGAAATTGTATTTTTTACCTAACAATTGTAACATATGCGCCAAAATATGGTGTTTTGGATAAACGTATATTGTTTTTTGCATGTATAACCAACAAGTAACTGTTTGAATAATTCAATACAATACGTGTTTCTTCTTTATTTCGATAAACCATTTTTAAAACACGATCACACTGTGATTTTAGTACGTTCCGGTGTAAGAAAAAAAATACAGGGTGATTTTTTAATCATGAACCACGCAATATCTCATAGGGTTTAATGAGAAAATGTATTTTTTTATTTCATATGGTTATTATACATATTGATCTCAATTTTTCACAATTTTTTTTTTTTTTTGGTTAACAACTTTTAAAACTTAAACGTTAACGTATATATTTTATTAAATTTTTAAATTGAGAATAATGTGTTAAACATTTTGAGTGATCGATAACCAGTTTTGAATAACTATTTTAAAAATATCAAAGTCTTAAAGTTAGGATGAGAAGTATAGCACGGTTGGGAAATGCGCGCAAATAAAAATAATACTACAATCCACCTTACCTCCTGCTCTAAACTTAAGACTTCAATAACTTCAAATATAGTCATCCAAACTCTTTATCTACCAGTCGAATTTGTTAGTACATTATTCTCAATTTCAAAAGGTAATAAAATATATACGTTACAATTTCAGTTTCAAAAGTTGCTATCAAAAAAACGAAGTTAGGAGGAGGGTAAAAACAAAAAAAAAATGTAAATAATTTAGATCACATTGTACAAAAACAATATGAAAAACAAAATGTAATTTCTTATTAAACCCTATGAGATATTAAGTGGTTCATGATAATCACCCTGTATGCAATTATTTAAAAATAAAATAATACCGATAATAAAATTCATACAGCATTTTCAAAAGGTTTTAAATAAACATATAACAGAAAACAGTGCTGAGGGGCTAGGTTATAATTAGGGGACCAAAACGGACAATACATTGATCTAGGCGAAAATATTTTTATAAATTGTATACAATTAATAAATATTACATACATTTAGTTAAGAATTAGACCATAATTGATATATTTATATCAAATGTATATATATATACCTTGGCTTTTGGTTCTTTGAACGAATTTAAACGCTATACAATTTGAGTTTGTTGCTAGATATGGCGTAGCATACCACATGTGTTTTAAGTATATATTATTAAGCCAAGGTTAAATGACAAAAGGTGTTAACAGAAAACAGTAAATATAAAATATAGTAGGTAATAAACCGTACCAATGTACTGAAATATGTTAATTAGCGATTTAAAGAATTTCAATTTATTTTGTTATTCAATTTTCAGATATAGGTACAACACTGACACCTAAATTTATAATTTTATTCAAAGACAAAACTACAATAAAACTGACATAAAATGATTTATAGTCTAATACTTTAGTGCATACTACTTCAGTCGATATTTTGGTCTAAAACGTTAAAAAAAAATCCCCTGGATAAACAACTTTGTCTATTGGCTATTATTAAATTACATATACAAACTATACACTGATAACCCTGATAATCATAGTTAATCATATATTTTATTAAAATACTGTTAAATTCTCAAAGTTATCGTAACTTTTAAAAGTACTAAGAACCAACTTAGTATCAGAAAATGATATAACATTTTAAAATTATACTTAACTAAAATGTTTTCATCAGGACTCTGATATGATCTATCCAGCATTTACACTGCGTGTGTAACCAGGTTAAAAATATGTAGTGGCGTGTAAATGATACGATTAAAGAGTGACAAGTTTTAAGTCACAGCTTGTAAACTACTTCATTGAAAATAAAAGGTTAGGTTTTTTTTATTTATAACTATATTGTTATTTTTTACCATTATTTTATTGTTATTCTATTAGGATAAACGTATACGAACTATAATTAATACAACTATTTTTCAATTATCATAACTCTGCCAATTTCTGTTAATGCCAAAGAAACCGCCCTCATGTCTTTTATGATTTTTTTCAGTCTTTCGGTTGTTTCAGTTGCAGTACGGGCAATTTCAATTTATTTTGCTACCCAATTTTCAGACATACAATACTGACAACTACATTTACAAATTTATTCAAAGATAAAACTACAATAAACCTTGCATAAAATTATGTATAGTCTGATAACATAGTAAGTCAAAATTATAAAATATAAAGCCAAACTCAGATAATTTAGTCTATTATAGCAACAATGATTTAAATCAGTTGTTGTTGTTGTAGATGTAAAAACAAGTAATTCTTTTACAATTATAAAATAACCCTAACCACAATGAAAATATAGTTATTTTGCTCATAAGTAAATTTTTATTTCAGTGAAGGCTTATTTAGAATTGTATGAAAGAAACACAAGTGACTCTACTTAAATTGATATGTATTTTTATTTTGGTATGGCAACGTTTTCAATTCCTCAACTGGTATGTAATCCAAAAGTCCAAAAACTATGTTTTAATAACAAAA